TTGTGGCTCGTGGGCTCTAGAGCGCAGGCTCAGTAGTTGTGGCACAAGGCTTAGTTGCTCCATGGCATGTGGGATCTTCCCAGACCAGGGCTCAAACTCGTGTCCCCTGCATTGGCAGGTGGATTCTTAACCACTGTGCCACCAGGGAAGCCCAAGAATATTTTTGACAACCCAATAGAAAACAGCAGGCAAAGGACTTCAATAGGGACTTAAAAGAGAGACATTAAAATGGTCATTAACATTTTAAAAGGTGCACAACTTTATTAACCAGTAGAGAAATGCAAATTTGTTAGAGAAGTGAAAATTAACCATAATGGAATACTACTAAATACCCACCAGAATAGTTAAAATGTAAAAAATAGACAATATTGAGTGTCGCAGGGTTGTGAAGTAACAAGGACTCTAATGTTTCTAATAAGAGTGTAAAGTGGAAAACCTTTTAGAAGATTGGGTGTATTCCTGAAAGCTGAATACTCTGACCTAGCAGTTTCACTTGTAAGTATATGTCCAGCAGAAATACTTGTACATGTTCACCTCAACTGATGGCACATTCTGATAGCACATCTAGAATGTTCATAGCAGATTTGTAATAGCCCCAGATTGGAAACTACCTAAATGCCCATTAGCAGGATAATGGTTAAATAAATTGTATATTGCAGTGAAATATTATTCAGCAATAAAATGAACATTCTTCAACTATGTAGAGCATTAAAGCATATATATCCTGTTTAATTTTCTTTTTCGTTACCTAATGTCTCATATTCTGACTGATTTTTACCTTGTGGGCAGCAGTGTTTTGTAAGATATATTAGACACAGCCTATCTGCAGTTACCTCCTTTTAGAAAGACTTTCCCAAGTCAGTATATCTCCCAGCCAAACAAATATAAGATAAATGCATTCTTCAGTGATATCATTATCCAGTCAGTTCCTTCTTTAAAGCTTTTCAAATGTCTGTTTTTCGGATTGCATTTTACTTTCAGCGTTTAGTGAGAATGTTTTGCTTGAGCTTCACATAAAAGTCTCAAACTCTTGTTCTCATGCCAGCATAGAAAACAGTCTGAGTTGGTAGTTTTCCGAGGAAAATATCTCCCCGCTTTGGTATGCAAACCTTTTAAAGCTGGGCTTTAACTGACAAGCCCACGGCCTGTGCTGGCCCATGTGCCATGATGTTATTGGTGTAAAGTGACCGTGTGGCTGGGGACTGTGGGGGAGGACAGAGTTTTCCTCCACGCTTTTAGGGTTCCAGACTGGGTCTGAAAATTAAACTGACAAAGACAGATTAACAGGAAAAAAGGGCACACATTTACTTAATAGAGATTTTGTGTGACACAGGAGCCTTCATAAGGAAATGAAGACCTAATGAAACAGTTCAACCTGAGTATTTTTGTGCTAGGTTTGATGAAGTGCGGGCAGTCGTGGAGGAGTATGATAGTTCAAAGGTAAGGGTAGTACACTGGGAGAAATTTAGTAAGGCCTGCTTGTTGGGGTTCTTCTCAGGGTCCCTTTTTCTTCAGAGATAAGGATGCATCTTTCCTCTGGGTATAGGGAAGGCACCTCTCATATGAGAGTTTTATGACCTGTTTCAGGAGAAAAGGGCAGTGGGAAGGTCGGAGTGATCTTCCTGCTTCAGCTGTTTTCTCAGACTCCTTCAGCTTAAGATGCTCAGTATGCCCAGGTACCATATTTTGGGGGTAGCTGATGGTTAGGGCCATCACCTGTGCCCACTCTGGTTGCTGCATTCCTGCTGAGGGTGAGAGAAGGCATTACAGGAGGAGAAATCCCGGAGGGGACCACATGTGCTATTTAGCAGGTACTCTTGGAGGCTAGTTAAGTGTTAACCTATTCATGCTTATTTAATCCTCACAAGTTTATGAGAGATGGGAGTTACTACTCCTATTTTAGAGAGGAGGAAAATGAGATCCTAAGAGGTCAGGTGGCTTCCCAAGGTCACCCAGCTAATCACCTGACTTGGTGGAGCTGGGATTCTGATCAAGCTCTGGCTGACTTGGAGATTATCCCCACTGTTCTACAGAGCCATTTCCTCAGTGCTCTTCCATCCTGTCATGAGGTTACCGAGACAGTCCCCTTAATAAAATGAACAGAAAACAGGCGACCCACTGTAGGTAGTAGAATCAGTGTGCAGATTTACTTATTTCATGTCTTCTATTTCATCATGTATATATTTATAGTGCCATGTAACTGTATTCCAAGGAGATAAAAATATTTTAATTTGCAAACTTAGTTATAGAAGAATTAGGTTACTTAATAGTCATTGTGTTAGAATGTAAGTTCTCTGAGGGCAGGGACCTTGTCTGTCTTGCTCGCTACTTTGTCCCTGGGGCCTTGTGCACACTGCCTTGTACAAAGTAGGTGCTCAAGTGAATTAATGAATGAACACATTTCAGTAAGAATTTATTCTTCTGATTCTCCTTCTCCCTTATTTGCATATTCTCTGTTTACTCCTCTTCTTCCACTTCCCTTTAATAGAGCAGTTTCCTAAAGTTCTCTACTGAGTCCTCTTCTTACATTACTCTACCAGTGTTTCCTGGGTACTGTCATCCACTTCCTTGGAGAAAGTGTTAAGAAAACAATGTAAATGTGTTCTGCGGCTGTAAAAAAGTGAAATCTTGCCATTTGCGGCAACATGGATGGATCTAGAGGGTATTTTGCTAACTGAAATAAGTCAGACAGAGAAAGATTGCATGATCTTACTTATATGGTGAATCTAAAAAACAAAACAAGCAAATAAACAAAACAAGATGAAAACAGACTCACAGATTCAGAGAAGAAACAGGTGGTTGCCAGAAAGTGAGGTGGGGTGGGCGAAATAGGTAAAGGGGATTAAGAGTTACAAACATCCAGTTATAGAATAAAATAAGTCATGGGGATATATTGATAATATACAACATGAGGAATATGGTCAATAATATTGTAATAACTTTGGGAAAAGATGGTTACTGGACTTATTGTGGTGATCACTTTATAATGTATGCAAATATCAAATCATTATGTAGTACTCTTTTTTTTAAATAACTTTTTTATTTTTGGCTGCGTTGGGTCTTCACTGCTGTGCATGGGCTTTCTCTAGATGCGGGGAGCAGGGGCTCCTTGCAGTGCGTGAGCTTCTCATTGCAGTGGCTTCTCTTGTTGTGGAGCACGGGCTCTAGGCACGTGGGTTCAGTAGTTGTGGCTTGCGGGCTCTAGAGCGCAGGCTCAGTAGTTGTGGCACATGGGCTCTAGAGCGCAGGCTCAGTAGTTGTGGCGCATGGGCTTAGTTGCTCCGTGGCATGTGGGATCTTCCCAGACCAGGGCTCAAACCCGTATCCCCTGCATTGGCAGGCAGATTCTTAACCACTGCGCCACCAGGGGAGCCCTGTAGTACTCTTGAAACTGACATAATATTGTATGTCAACTATATTTCAGTTACAAAATGAAAATGGTTGAAGCTCATGCATCCCAGTGCAATTTCCAAAAAAAAAAAAAAAAAAAAGATGTTGTTTTGGGGATCGAGACCAAGTATTAGAATCAGCTTTTGCTCCTAATGAAGGTGTGACATTGAGCAAGTGATCTAACCTGTTGGTGCTTCAGTCTCCTTTTTATTGTAAGAAAGTTGGCAAAGATTTGGAGTTGAAAATTCACATACCTATAGGGGCCAGGTAGGTAATAGAAATGATGGAAGTGAGCTGGGCACGGTACAGTAAGGCATTGCAGGGACGGTGATATAGTTTATGTATACTCCATTGAAGAACTTCTTGCTAACTTTTAATGAGATTTTGGAGTTACAAGGGAATTTGACCAAAAACAAATACTTGTATTAGCTTAGCCTACTAGTGCTTAAATTTGGCTATGTCTTAGAATTACCTGGGGAGTGTTTTAAAAAACACCAATGCCCAGATTCTGCTCTCAGAGATCTGATTTAGTTCTAAAATACCAAAAGCTTCTCCTGCTAGTGCGCAGCTAGGTTTTGAATGATTAATTGGACGCTAATTAACTAGGATGTTTTTTATACCTGACTTTCAGAAATAAGCAGATAATCAAGGATGTAGTCAGCTTTCAGACGAATAAACCTTTTGCCTTTCTTCGAAGCAATCTTCACTGAAAGTTATTGTTGTGAATGATCACTCAGGGACAGCACTGGTTTCCGTGTCACCAGCAAAGAGCTTAAGTTGTGTTCATTATACCAGTCAGTCCCTATTGTCTCATAATACATTTTGCCCCTGTTTTCACACACCCAAAACTTTCACTTTTTCCCCACTACATTTGTGGTCATATTCAGTGGTTTCTACTGCACTCTGTGAACTGATGGTTGGTCACAGTTTTCTCTGGGGCTAGGATTCAGTATGTGCATATTCAGAGTTTTCTTATGAGCCAGTCTTTCTTAAGATGCCCTCTCTAGGATAGCATTTTAACTAACATTAGAGACTCCCTACCCTAACCAAGACTAGAAAGCATTCTCAAAAATTTTTAGAGTGGTTTTCTTAGTTTGATTTGCATTTGCATCAGTGGATTAGGATATTTAAGTGAAAGGTACCAGATTTCTAATTATTTGTTTTTGTTTGTGAGTTTGGATGATTTTTAAAAATTTATTTCAAATTTGAGAAGGTGGCATTTATTTGATGTAGTTTATTTTCTCACATTTTTAAATAACTCGTGAGATAAAAAGATTTATTAATTTATGGTATGATACATTCTGCTTACCTTTTTGATTATATGGAAATATTCTGATTCATTCCTTAAGGAATTTATTCAGTAGAACAGGTCAACTAGGTTAAGTAATGACTCTGCTCAGATGAATACATTCTTCATAAAAAATATTCTTCATAAAAAACATAAAGCACGTGTTGTCTTTTATTATTTTTCCCTGAGGTGATTTTCAAATCTGCACTCACTCAGCACTACCTGATATATTCATTTTGTTATATTCAGAGTGGAATTACCCAGCTTATCCATTCCTTCTGTGGTTTTTTTCTTTCTTTCTTTCTTTCTTTCTTCCCCTCAGTGTTTGCTTTCACAACCCAAGTTCTGGGCCATTCAGACATCAGCTTTGATCCTCCGGACAAAACTTGAGAGAGGAAGCACACGCCGAGTGGAACGGGCAATGAGGCAGACACAGGTAAGAATTAATGTGGCAATTTTTGTTATTCTTCCAGCTCTTTATTATTATCAATAACCGTACATGTTTGTTGTGAGTATAAAATCATTTTCCTCTAACACGTTTTATTATTGAAGAGTGTTGTTTTAGAGTCTGCTTGGCTCCAAAGCCCAACTCTGTCGCTTAGCTCTGTGACCGTAGTATTTAACCTTTCTAAAGGAAAGCTGTTCGCTACTCAACATTTCTGACGCCAAGTGTGTGGGTCTTTCACACCAAGCATTTCATCATTTCCCTGTGGACATCAACTGGGTGTCCTACAATTTAATTCAATTCTGACCCTCCCTGGAATTAGTGCAGACCCCATATGTTAAGGGCTAAGTTCCAAAAGACTGCCTCCCACTTCAGATTCCAATCTCAAGTCTTCTACGTCTGACTGACTGGCTATAAATCAGGGGTCCTCACGACCTCCTCCTCACCTCAGGTTTGATAATTTGCTAGAACTGGCTCACAGAACTAGGGGAAACACTTAATTATGATTACTGGTTTATTATAAAGGATGTTATAAAGGATTCAAATGAACGGCCAGATGAAGAGGTATATAGGGCAAGGATCCTGAGCAAAGGAGCTTCTCTGTCTTTGTGGAGTTTGGGGTACACTCCCCCTCCCAGAACGTCGGTGCGTTTTCCAATGTGGGTGCTCTCTGAACCCATTTGTTTTGGGGGGTTTTATGGAGTATCTATTATGTGGACATGATTGAATAAATCAGTGGCCATTGGTGATAACCTCAATCCCCAGCCCTTTTTCCCTCCCCGGACCTTGGGGTGGGGCTGGAAGTTTCAACCCCCTAGTCACATGGTTGGTTCCTCTGACAACCGGCCCCCATCCTCCCAGAGTCACCTCATTGCCATAAACTCAGGTGTGGTGAAAGGGACTTACTATGGATAACAAAAGACACTTTTCTAACCGTACAACTCAGGAAGTTACAAGAGTTTTAGAGGCTCTATTCTGGGAACCAGAGCTTATATATTTCTTATTATATCACAGCATCACATCCCTAAGTTTCATTATCTATATAAGAGGGTAGTAATAATTGTACTTATAGCATAGGTTTGTGGTGAGTGGTAAAGAGATAATACAAGAGTTAGTGAAAAAGGTAAGCAGTTTCACAGACATAGATTGTATGAAGAAACAAAATTCATCCTAATGCAAAAATATTCACTGATGAAGTAGAATGAATAGTCTCTATTCCAAAGTGGTTTTTTTTAAACTACTAAAGAATATTTTATTAATTTCTTTGTTTAAAAATATTTCTAATAGACACCTCACTAAGCTTAGAGCACTCTATTGATGCTGCTGGAAATATAGTACAAAGTTATTCCTTAGGTTCTGTATCTTTCCTAGCTAGTTTTCCAGTTTGAAACCTGCATGATTCTCTGAATTGTGCAGATGATGCTTTTAGATATCAAATACACAGGATGTGCTTTGCTTGGGGAAAATGGATTTGAAGAAAGAGCCAAATCACCATGCTTTGGCCCTTTGCCCCTGTCTTGGCCTTACTATATCTGGGGTCACTTCATCTTGCCAGGCAAATGCTATGTGATGAAGAGAGTGGTATACCTTTCTACCTATACAGCGGAATGAGGGAGTTGTTATTCCTGCCTCTGTGGGAAAAATCAGAGAAAGTCTTTTGACTCCCCAACCCAGAAAATTTGGAAATTAGTCAGATCATGGAACAAGATGAATTAGACAAAATTTGTCTAATTTTCTGTCACTTGTTGAGCCATTTACTTCATAATCTGAACTTTTGCCAATTCCTCTGATTCAGAGTTGATATTACTAATTGTTGAAGTTATTGCATCCCTGAAGAATAAGACGAAAATGATTTAAACAATACATGTATACATAAAACAATGTTTTAAAAAAATTCTCTTTTAGTTTCTGTGGAAATTTGTTCCCTTGCTCAGCTGTACAAAGTGGTAACATGATAAAGTGTTAAAGCAGAAAGAAAAATAAGCTAGAAGGAACTCTCAGGGAAAAGCTTAATCTTGTCACATGATAAGTTGAAGAAATGCAGGTATGATGAGGTCGGGTGACTTGCCCCAGTTTGCCTGGCGAGTTAATGACAGAGTCTGGACTTTAACTTACACAGTAGCAGGCAGTTACATTGAAGAATGCAGACCGGCTTTTTGGTGGGGCAAATGGCGGACTCCGGGAGGGCTCACTCCAAGGAGTACTTCCCAGTACTTCTGCTGTCAGTGTCCTCGTCCCCGCAAGTAAACCACAGCCACCCACCACCTCTGCAGGAGACCCTTCAACACTAGCAGCCATGTGGCTGACAGGATCATGGTGCTCCAGCCGAGTGTCAGGCCTGTGCCTCTGAGGTAGGAGAGCCGAGTTCAGAACATTGGTCCACCAGAGACCTCTCGGCTCCACGTAATATCAAATGGCAAAAGCTCTTCCAGATATCTCCATCTCAACGCTAAGACCCAACTCAACTCAAAGACCAGCAACCTAGAGTGCTGGACACCCTACGCCAAACAACTAGCAAGACAGGAACACAGCCCCACCCATTAGCAGAGAGGCTGCCTAAAATCATAATAAAGTCACAGACACCCCAAAACAAACCACCTGACACAGTCCTGCCCACCAGAAAGACAAGATCCAGCCTCATCCTCCAGAATACAGGCACAAGTCCCCTCCACCAGGAAGCCTACACAACCCACTGAACCAACCTTAGCCACTGAGGGCAGACACCAAAAACGACGGGAACTACGAACCTGCAGCCTGCGAAAAGGAGACCCCAAACACAGTAAGTTAAGCAAAATGACAAGACAGAGAAACACACAGCAGATGAAGGAGCACGTTAAAAACCCACCAAACCAAACAAATGAAGAGGAAATAGGCAGTCTGCCTGACAAAGAATTCAGAACAATGATAGTAAAGATGATTCAAAATCTTGGAAATAGAATGAAGAAAATACAAGAAACATTTAACAAGGAACAAGAAGAACTAAAGCGCAAACAAACAATGATGAACAACACAATAAATGAAATTTAAAATTCTCTAGAAGGAATCAATAGCAGAATGACAGAGGCAGAAGAATGGATAAGTGACCTGGAAGATAAATAGTGGAAATAACTACCATAGAGCAGAATAAAGAAAAAGGAATGAAAAGAATTGAGGACGGTCTCAGAGACCTCTGAGACAACATTAAACATACCAACATTCAAATTATCGGGGTCCCAGAAGAAGAGGAAAAGAAAGGGACTGAGAAAATATTTGAAGAGATTATAGTTGAAAACTTCCCTAATATGGGAAAGGAAATAGTTGATTAAGTCCAGGAAGCACAGAGAGTCCCATACAGGATAAATCCAAGGAGAAACACGCCAAGACACATATTAATCAAACTATCAAAAATTAAATACAAACAAAAAATATTAAAAGCAACAAGGGAAAACCAACAAATAACATACAAGGGAATCCCCATAAGGTTAACAGCTGATCTTTCAGCAGAAACTCTGCAAGCCGGAAGGCAGTGGCAGGACATATTTAAAGTGATGAAAGGGAAAAACCTGCAACCAAGATTACTCTACCCAGCAAGGATCTCATTGAGATTCGACAGAGAAATTAAAACATTTACAGACAAGCAAAAGCTAAGAGAATTCAGCACCACCAAACCAGCTTTACAGCAAGTGCTTAAGGAACTTCTCTAGGCAGGAATCACAAGAGAAGGAAAAGACCTGCAATAACAAACCCAAAACAATTAAGAAAAAGGTTAATAGGAACATACATATTGATAATTACCTTAAATGTAAATGGATTAAATGCTCCAACCAAAAAACATAGACTGGCAGAATGGATACAAAAACAAGACCTGGGGCTTCCCTGGTGGCGCAGTGGTTGAGGGTCCGCCTGCCGATGCAGGAGATATGGGTTCGTGCCCCGGTCTGGGAAGATCCCACATGCCGCGGAGCGGCTAGCCCATGAGCCATGGATGCTGAGCCTGTGCGTCTGGAACCTGTGCTCCGCAACAGGAAAAGCCACAACAGTGAGATGCCCGCGTACCGCAAAACAAACAAACAAAAACAAAACCCAACAAGACCTGTATATATGCTGTCTACAAAACACCCACTTCAGACCTACAGACGCATACAGACTGAAAGTGAGGGGATGGAAAGAGATATTCCACGCAATGGAAATCAAAAGAAAGCTGGAGTTGCAGTTCTCATATCACACAAAGTAGACTTTAAAACAAAGACTACTACAAGACACAAAGAAGGACACTACATAATGCTCAAGGGATCAATCCAAGAAGAAGATATAAGAATTGTAAATATTTATGCACACAACAGAGGAACACCTCAATACGTAAGGCAAATGCTAACAGCCATAAAAGTGGAATCGACAGTAACACAATCATAGTAGGGGACTTTAACAGCCCACTTTCACCAATGGACAGATCATCCAAAATGAAAATAAATAAGGAAACACAAGCTTTATTTTTTTAATTTTTTATTTTTTTATAATTTTTATTTTTTTGGCCATGCTGTGTTCATGTTGGATCTTAGTTCCCTAGTCAGAGATCAAACCTGCACCCCCTGCATTGGAAGCACAGAGTCTTAACCACTGGACCACCAGGGAAGTCCCTGAAACACAAGCTTTAAATGATACATTAAACAAGATGGACTTAATTGATATTTATAGCACATTCCATCCAAAAACAAGAGAATACACTTTCTTCTCAAGTGCTCATCGAACATTCTCCAGGATAGATCATATCTTTGGTCACAAATCAAGCCCTGGTAAATTTAAGAAAATTGAAATTGTATCAGGTATCTTTTCTGACCACAATGCTATGAGACTACATATCAGTTACACGAAAAAGTCTGCAAAAAATACAAGTCAGAAAGAAGAAAACAAATACCGTATGCTAACACATATAAATGGAATCTAAATAAAAAAAAAAAAGGTTATGAAGAACCTAGGGGCAGGACAGGAATAAAGTCGCAGACCTACTAGAG